ATATATATATATATATTGCGGCTCAAATCTACGTCTACGTCCACCGCGCTTGGCCGCGAGACGCCGGAGGCACTTGATGAGTCACGAAGACAAATCGCAAGTGAGAAGGGATCAGGACAGTGCCACAGCTGGGGGATGCATCGCCAGCGAGCATTCCTGCAGCTGCGACCACGGGCAATCTGCCGGGCTTCCCTCCCCGTCTCAATGCAGCCGAAACAAGCGTGGCTTGACTCCATGGGTGTTTCACCATGGCTCGACCCGCGGCTCCCAAAGCTTCCGGCAGGATCCTATACCACAAACCTCTTAGCGATGGCCTCCACCCTCCTAGCGATGGCCTCCAGCCAAATAGTGCTTGTTTTCACCAGTTCGTAAGTTCTTGTTTGGGATACGATCAAGAGCTGCCCACAACGAGTTCCACCAGCACGAGTCCAGTCCCACATGTCGTTCTCGAACATCCTCGTCTCTTGCCTTGAATTCGTGACACTACAGCCATCTACTAATTATTCAACAGCCATCTACAGCCTTGAATTCGTTATCTATTAGCCTATTTATTCATGCCATTGTCATCCCTATACTAGCTATGATGTGGAATGTGTCAAAACTCTTAATCTTTGGATTCCTCTCAATCGAAACTCCTGAAACAGGCGGCTAGCTAGTTAGCTGGGTCAGCGAGCAACCGACGCCCACCGTCCGAGGCTCTGAGCAACTTGGACTTTCCACTGCCGGCGGGGCCTTTGACGGCCACCAACTTGCCCTGACGGGAGAGGGGGAGAGTCCGACCGACGGGAGAGGAGAAGTGGCCCGTTCAGTGTCACTCGGTTTTGTGTCCCATATGACGAAATCAGAGATTGCTTCGAGATCTTATAAGCTTAACTTACCTAACTCATGGATTGTTCCGAATTCCACAAGAGTGGCAAAGTGACCAAAGTCTCCTACTTGAGAGGGTTCATGAGACTGATAGAGAGTAGGACGTCATAAAACTGCCCATATCTGGGCTTCTTTCTTCCCAAGTCCGTAGCATGGGTTTCCCCCAATGTTGGTGTCTATAGTGGTACGAGTACTTGCCGTCCTGAACAATTCGTTGGGGAATCCTTCTCAACCAAACCACCAAAAGCATTCAACCTGTGGTTGGGTCCAAAAAGTTTGCAGTTTCGTCCTGTAGATGCTTATGCTGAGGCATGCATGGCTTAATCTTTGAGACAGGCATATGACTCCTGGCCGGCCGGCCGCCCAGTTTCTTCCGATGCCTACTTAGATGCCTTAGGGCGCTTCTGAGAAAAAACACACTTCACTTCGAGTGTCTGTCTCTGTGGAAGTCACTCCGTTTTGGGCGTGTGGTTTTGCGGAAGTCCGACGGAAGAATTCCCATTCATAGGACGCAACTAATCCTTGCAATGCCTGGGCACATCTGATACCAACACTGATGCAAACAATGTTCTGAACAAAAAGTAATCAATGTCAATTAGGTCAAGTCGGACCAAGTCGAAGGCACATCTGGTGATTCCAAAGAGCACGTGCTGCCACTAAAAGCCAAGCCACAAGACTTTCAAGATCTTAAGACCTAACTTTTTGAACCAAACAAAACTCGCAACTCCAACATACCTCGTTGGATGTCGAGATTGCGCGCGGTCCGGCCACCGGTGTCCCAAACACCGCTCCGCTTGGAAAGCCGCGGAGAGCGAAGCCTGCGCTGCGGTGAGGTTGATCTCGCGAAAGAGATGCCGCTGACCGTCCTGAGACCCAAATCTGCTCCAGTCCAAGGCGTTTGAGTTTAGGGTTTGGTGGATCTCTCAACCTCTCATGAATGGTTTCAATCAGTTTCAGTCAGTTGTTTGTTCTGTGAAAGGCTCCCCAAAAGCCTCATGACCTAATACAAATGCAGCGTCCTCTTCAGGATGTTCATGGTTTCCGGGGTCGCTGAATACAGGAACCTGAACATGAGGCACTGAAACATCACCACAAGAACACTAGACGTGAGTGGACTCTGAGTTGACCGTGAGTTGGATGCCCAAATCCCATGCAAAACCCACTTCCAGTCATCCCGCGAAGAAAAGCCGACCGAAATCGCGCCTTCAGCGCCAAGTGGCAGGGAAGAGATTGTTTTCGTCCAAGTGATCCAGCTGCAAGCCGATATTCTCCAAGCCTTGGACCAGATTTTCCATGCAAGCCGATATGTCCATGTCTTTTCGATTCAGCAAGCACAGGCACCCATATAAAATTATATAACTATATAAATTCTACGGAAACCTGCTCATCGCTTGGAACTTGTTACTCATCGCTTGGAACTTGTTAGCACCCAAAAAATAGAGAATCCCTCCACACAGTCCTGGTTTTCACCGAGTGATGCTTCTCTTTTCCGTGACATGTATTACACCACCCTCAGCTCCACCAGGACCGGTCAAGAACACCGTCGCAGGGTCGGTCAGTACAGGTCTCCACTCAACAAATAAAGCCTTAGACTATCTTAATCAATTCGATGAAATGACAAAGCCTCAAAGAGAAAGAATCAAGGGGAAGGCCTGCCAAGTAAACAATGAATGTGAACTTAAATATGCTTCACAGGTTCAAACGCCGCTGACAATTGCCGACATATGTTGTTCATCATGATGTCACTAAGTGATGATTGTATAATTTGTCAGGTGCCCAAGAATGTGAGCACTTTGCAGTGCAGGGCGCTGCCGCAAACGCTGCTGTAACAGTCCGCAGCGGGGTACTCTAACCCACGCAGTGGATCCAATTGCCCTATACAAAAGCAACTGGACGTCAAAAGGAGTCAAAAAGGAGTCCCTTATACAATCAACAAATAATCTGATATATAAATACATATAATCATACTTATATGTACTTATATATGAATGTATATATTGGGCAACTGTAACTGCGTTTGACTGATTTCTACTGAGCACACAGCAGTCAATTGCAAGCAAACTGGAGAAGAGGGGACACTGAATGCTTAACAAAAGACATATATAATGTTGGACAACAACCAGGATTATCCACTGAGGACTTATTCAACGAAATGCCAACAAACAGGGAATATCTATCCACTTCACTTGTCACCAGCTGCTGGCACTTTGATTGGACCGCGGCCATCTTGTCGTCTTGCCAGCACCGTTTCATTCCGAAGATCGTTTCATTCGTCTGGGGCCAGGGGCCACCGGGGCGGGCCGACGCCCGTTCTTCGTCCCGTTCGACGCGGTTCGCCGTCCAAGACTTCAAACCGACGAACCGCGGCGGATGGGGATTTCCATGAGCCCCCAACCCAGGGAGACACCGGACCCTTTCATTACCAGTTGGGGAGGGTTTGATCACGCAATTTGGGCGCCCAGCGGCGGATGGGGATCAAATCGGTGCGGAAGTCTGCCTCATCCAGGCTAGTTTGTGGCAGGGACATCAGTTGGCGACGGCGTTGGATCGTCTCTTCCACGCGGTAGTCCACGAAACCTGGAGCGAGAGGCCGGAAGGGATGTAGCAAAGTCATGCAAAGTCTTCTTTTTAAGATCTCTGTCAGGCCTGTTGGATTTCGATTTCGGGTTCAAGTGAGGACCTGCACTGAAAGAGCTCCAGACGATCCTCGGTTTGGGACTGTTTGGCTTTCTTTTTGATTGATGTTTATATATCCCCCTTACTTGTTGCATATCGGCTGAAAGATTGCATTTTATGGAGAATTATGTCTATGAAATGAGTATACAGGGAATATTCCATGTATGGAGTATTTTTAAAACATTGTTTTAGATCTACAGGATGGAGATGATTGAGATTGCTTGAGTCTGCCCGCCTACCACCAAACCTGTGTCGGTGCTTCTGGTGCCCCTTACGAGGATGCTCTATGCCACACAACATCTATGAACTCACTTCCGGGCGGAGTATCAGTCCAACTGTGCATGGAAGCCTTCTCAAGAAGAAGCAAGCACATTAGTGTAAGCAATGCTACGAAGACTATATCTATTTGATTCTCTTTGGGCTATCTAGTGGCCGGTGTCGAAGCCAACATCTCACTGACACCAGTTGGCTTTCTGACAGTCTGCTAATGTGTTTGGCAAACTTGACTCTTTCCACATTCATGATCGGTGGTGGTTTAAACTCAAACAAGCCTTCCCAGCCGATAATCCAAGAGGCTCTTCAGTAAGGGGACATCCGTCTTGCGATTGAGGAAGACGGTCAAGTCCACCTCGACGAGTCTTTCTGTCCAAGCTTCTCATTGACTTTGAACATATTTTAGTAATGTTTAATCAATAATATCAGCTGATCATCTATCTCTGTCTGTTTCTCCTCAAGCCTGTGTGGAGTGATCAGAAAAAAGTTACAAGAAACATCAAAGAAACTGGTTGATCCACGTCACCAAAGGTTCGAAGCAAGAGATGACCTTCTTCAGTCCGCTGTAGCCGTCCTCGAAGTTGGAACTGACTTCTTTGAAAACACCTGACGGGCAGTTGGGAGCAGCACTGGCCGCTAGCACTTCGGGAGCTACTGGGGAGCCACTTCAAGGATTTTGTATGGGGAAAGCGCCCCCCCCCACACACAATCTGCTGGCTGCGTCAAGGGCTTGAGAGAACATCATGACACACAAGAAACTATACTCTCAAGAGAGGATTCATATGGATACACATTCAAGAATAGTCTGGTGGGTTGTGTCACCCACTGTCGCACCACAATGTGTGGAGATGGAGGTCAATTCTCTAATAGTAATCTGCGGCTTTTTTGGGAGTCGGCCTACCTTGTTGCCTCGCCGCTACCAACAAAAGGAGTCGGCCTGAGAGGCGGGCCTGGTCAATTGGACTGTCTACCCAACTTCCTACAAAGCTCACAGACTCATAGACTTGAGCTGAAGCTGAACATCCGGCTGAGGCACTGATGGTTGCGAGAAAGGTGCCCAAAGGAAGCTCTTTGGAAAGCACCAAGGGCGAGTAAAAAGCCATGTAGAGCCCCACAAACAAAGGGCCAAGCCAGCCTGATTGGTGGACAGCCTTCCAAATAAGATCTGTTTCTAGTTTCTAGCAAATATGTTTTCTAGAATTTTCTAAACGTAATTACAGTATATATATATAGCTATATTTGGTAGTCAATCATTCCCAACTGGAAATGGTCAACACACACCGAAAACGTGCATACCTAAACCGCAAACCCAGCAGCTGAAAAAGAATTCGCTGTTCATCTTGTAGAGTCGCTCCTCATCACGGCAAGAAAGGATCCATGTCAACCGGCAAAGTCCAATTTCACCGCGCCAGCTTCGGATTCATTTGGCCCACCTAGGAGGTCCATAATATTGTTCATTGAACCACTTCTACAAACCTCACCCCACGATGTGGTCGAAATGAGCCTTCTGAAACGAAACCTTGATTCTCATTCATTTTGCTTCTGACCGGAAACTTGCCATTGGAATGGGACGATGTCTGCCAGGCAGGATTCTGGTGACTTACTAGCTCCTTGCAGGTTATGAGGTGTCCATTAACCACCCCTTAGGGGGCCCTGGTAGGTGTTTCCTCCATATTCTTATCCGGTTTGCAGTACCACGGACCCTTGGCCAACCCACCACCGCGGCGAACTCCGCCACGCCGCCGGAATCTCGTCGTCCTTGAACTTCTCCGCACGCGCGGCGAACTTCTCGTTCATGGTCGGGCGCTGAAAATAATGAGCGATGATTTGATAGCTATTGCCTCACGAAGTGAAGCATTTTCGGCGAAGCCGAGGCTTCGCAACAGGCCTCCAAATTTCGAGGATACCTCCTAAAGCCTAAAATGGCCTACAATGGCCTAAAGGTATGGTCTAGTCCTGTAGGAGCTGCCACCTTGAGATCAAATGGTCAGCTTTGAGAAACCCTAGAAAGTTCCAAACCTCTGCCAAGCTGGGCAGGAGAGTTGCTGACATCTGCCACAAAGTTCGTGAGCAGCTTCTTTGATGGCTCTGGAGGTGCTTCACAAATGAGTTCGCTGTCCCGTATCACAGACCACAAGAGCATGACACCAGGCATGGTGACGACCTCGGGACGGCCAGGACCCGAGACAATTCATCCTGCAAACAAAACTTGGAGTGGTCAAGGTTCTTCTAGATACAAGATATTGTGACCACTTCCCCAGCTTTAGACTGCACCACAGTCCAGTCAATCTTCTGCACATGGAGCATTGCCATTCGATAACTCAGCAGGTACTAAGGCTGAGCTAGGGAACACAAGCCGAACAGCAGTCACTCGCTCGTGTTCTCACCATTCGCTCAAGAACCCTCTGAGGGTTGTTCCAACTGAGCGGATGTTCCATTTCCCCCGTGCGTCGTTACGCGTCCCTGTTCCCATATCCATCATGGTCACATGGTCCATTCCGAAGGTGGGACGATGCGGTGGGAACATCTCTCTCCAAACAATTGTGACCACAAAAACTACGGTAAATACATGGCTGGCTGGCTGGCTGCGATTAGGCGCAAATTCCGTCCAATGTGATTGCATAATAGATCAACATATCAACAATGGCCACAGCAGTCTCCCAACAGTAACCGGCAGTCTGAAGCCCTGCACACTTCCTAAACATTCTGAACCAATCCAAGCGTCTGCCCAGGTCATGTCTGGGTTGCCTTAGAAGGGCCAACACATGGATTGAAATACAGCCTGATTCCGAGCTGAACAAAGAAATCAAACGCAATGGGAAAACAGAAACAACTGGAGTGCCTGGGATCTTACACCCAAATTTTGAGCAGCGTTGTCTAAATGACAGCTAAGCTCTTTGTGGGAGAGACATCTAGCTCGGAGCGATTGTCGGGTGGCTGGAGATTGCGAAAGAGTTCAGCATCACCAGTTTGCCCAAGGTTTCCAGCAAAGCTGAGACTTCGCTAATGCCCCCTGCCAGGTCCTAAGGTTCCGTGGGGCCAACCCTTCGGGCTGAGAAGGTGGGAGTGAACAAGGCATAACAGGACTATGAGAAGAAGGACATGGAAAGGAGCCGAACCAGCACTGATGCGAATGAGCAAACAATAAGCAAACCAGTCTAGCCGCCTATAGCCCCAAGGTTGGACCCATCTATGAGCCCTGAAACCCAACAACCGGCATGTATCTGATATCTTTGTCTTGATGAGACAGCGATGGGGGGATGTTTCAATCCACCTCAGTGGCTGTGTGTAGCCCGAGCAGCCCAATGTATTTTGTGTCAGGTCCGGGTAGGGTAGAAGAAACGCTGCATGTAGTCATGTAGTGCATGTGTGCGAAGAAACGCTCGCAATCATATGTCGCAAGCGTCGTCATAAAAGTCCGTCGTCATATCGTCGCACGTATGAATAGGTGGTCCAAAACGAAACACTTTAGATCACCCGTACTTGGCATCCCCCAATCTCTGTGCATCATTTTGCCTTCGTCTCAGTGGAATATCCGGATGGCTCCCCCTACTTTTACCCTGCCCCTATCACCATTTCTTTGGATGAACTTCGCAGCATCACTCACTCCGCCGTGGGGGAATATGTTGGGAGAGACATCGGGGTCCTCCGTCTTCTTCATCACCTTGTTCACCAGCTCTGGCTGTGTCACGGCCTCGCGGGACTCGTCGCTGAAGTTCATGTACTTCCGCATCACCTGAGGTGATACACCCTGACGACACCGAAGAAGGCGCCCCGACAGGTGTGACCTTGGAAGGAGGGCCGAAAGCTTGGAGGTTTTTGTGTGGTGGGATTGACGTCTTGTTTTCTTTCCAAGTATATATTTCAGGAATCCTTGGGATGCATCCACGAAATCTGTTGGGGTAAACAGTTCAAAGGCGCAATTCCAACATTGCGGAAAAAAAGGTAACATTAGACACTGCCACCTTCGATGACCATGCCCCTCAACCACGACTGATTACGAAGAGACACAGGCCAAAAAGAGCGGCCATTCTTTCCACCATGATCAACTCACCTGTGCCAAGCTCGGCCCTGATTGAAGGACATTCCCCAACTTCACACAATATCACAAAGTCCAAGGCTAGTCGGAGGACTGTGGGGATGGCGGGATCTGTTCAAAGATCAGTCACAGAAGTCTGCAAATAGACTTTGCTGCGGCCATTGAGGTCCAGGTTCACCCTGACCACCTTCCAAACATGGAGAAGCAAGGGTGAGAGCACGTACAACAGCCCGATGACCTGGCCGTGCGCTCAACATCGCGTGTGAAAAACAATGTTCATGGGAGGTTAGGGTTCTTCATTGTGATGCAGCTTAAACTGCACCTCCTGGAAGGCTTGCCAGATCCGAAAGTTCAAAGCAACAAACCCAATGGAGGGTTTGTTTGAACATCAGGAATGCCTGCCAACCATGGCACGACCAAACAAGATCTCTTGCTAGGTGGTGCTACTGACTCAACGGCGTGCTGATGATTAAGTTTTCCCTCATCACCTGAAAACTATGAAGCAATGGACCCCTGTGATGGGTTGGGTCCACTGTGCATGGGACTTCTGAAAAAGCTTGCCTGAACATGGCAAGAGTCCGTACGGCGCAACCAACTCTTTGGCTTCCTGCTTTTTGTCGATGAGATTCACCGGTTGAGCACCGATTCTTTTTCGATCGGCCCATGTAGACAGCAATGAGACAAAGGGTTTAGAGGCTCAGCTTCGCCCACCTCCGCCCACCAGCCCCGCCTGGGCCGTCTTGGCCGGATCCTCCGGGATCAAAAGCTCCGAGCGACGCCCTTCATCGTGGTCGAAGACCACGTTGACCATGTACACTGAGGAGGTGAGGGTGAACCAAACCTCGCGCTGGTGAGGCTGGTGAGGATTCAAGTGTGGATTTCAAGGGTCAACAACATCTCAACCATATTGCAATGTGATATCCAAACCAAGGAAACCTGGAATGAGAGAGAGAGAGGGAGGAGCAAACACAATATTACTGTAAACAAATCCCATGGAGTGGCTAGTCCCTACCGGATGCCAGTCCCTATCACCTTATCAGTCTCTACAAGGACAGGTTCTTGACACAACTCAGCCAAAGAAAGTCACAATGTTCTCATCATGTTTCGTAATCCTCCGTATTTAAACAAACAGTTCAAACAGCTCCACTTGAAGGGAGAAGTACACAACGCAACACACACACACACACATGTCCATCGATGTCCAGGGAACATAGAGGTTTTTGAGTTGGTCGAAGAGCAAAGTGATCATAAACCTCCAGGTGTTTCCAGGTTGCTCCAGTATATGTTTCACATACTCGATGAAAAGCCCGGTTTGCCGGACATCTTCGACGTTCTCTGCAATCTGCTCGGCATAGTAGCTCGAAGGAAAGGAGTCTTGATCAATGACCTTGACTCGACATATCTTCAAGTACCTGCCCAGCTGGCAGCCCATAGGGCTTTCCAAAACCACCTTAAACTCCAAGGTGGCGCTCCACAAGGGCGACTCCAAGATGGGAATCTCGATCCTTTGCTCGTAGACTCCACTGGGAAACACCAACTGCCCCTCCACGTGCCTGAGATGCAAAGACCCCTTCTGCTTGGCTGAAGCTCCCCAAGAACCATGGTTGAAGGACGTGAGCAGTTGGGATAAGTCCCTCAAAGCCTGATGAAGTCTGACATCCAACCACCATTGGTCCCATCAAAGGAGGTCAACTGTTTGAACTGTTTGATGAGTACGACTTTCCGGATTATCTGGATCGAAAGTTCGTGCTACAGCAATTTTTATGCAATTTTCAAGAGCAAAGTTGTACTACACTGCAACTTATTGCTTCTTCACCTTGCAAACCTCTCGTAAGTAAGAATCCCTCATCTCTCCTCACCCCCCTCCCCGGTGCGGTCCGCGCGGCTCGTAGCGCTGCCCGGCTTTCCCCGAGGACTCCTCCGTGCGGTAGTTGCAACGGACCTCCCCCTCGAGGCGACCCAAGCGCATGATGCTCACGGTAAAGGCCTCGCCCTCCTCGGCCGGACACGGTCGGAGCTGGGGACGCTCCTCGTCAGATTGATGGTCCGAGCTGTATCATTGATGATGCGTTTTGTTTTTTTTGTGTGATGGATCTATATATTCTACACTACGAGACGCATGGGGCCATTGCCTTTCCACTGATTTGGTGAACCCCGAACTCAAGGCCCACTGGCTTGGGATTCAGGAAAAGGGTCTTCGGGAAAAAAAAATCACGTATTTTATCAGGTCTGTGTCGGTGTTCGGGAGGGTATACCTAGCTGAGTGAGATTTCTGGACATTTGTTGTCAACAATGTAGTGCCTCACGACCAGTCACTGGATGGCAGTGTAACTCCTGAGCTTGGAAATATAAAACCTTGTTCATCAACAAGTCGCGTTGCCATTAGCCATGTCTAGGCCACTTGCTCTTAGCTCCAGCTACTTTTGCCCTTCTTGATCGAACACAAACGGAAAAGGCAAAGAGATGCAAAGAGGGTGTCCCCAACGATCAAAAAGGGCTCAAAGGGCCCAATAGGTTTCAAAAAGCCGTACTTTCACTGGCCCAGGTCCATCCGAACCAACCCAATCCATTTGCGAAGTCAACGCCGGGCGTCATTGGCCACAAAAATGGCCGAAGCGAACTGGACGATGTCCTGCCTGGGATGTCAGGGTCGGGAGCCATGAAACAAGCGACATCTTGAGAGCTTCTTGACAAAGGGGTCAGTAGTGAACGACATACTTTATATATATACTTGTGGCCCAGAGGGGGGTGGCGAAAGCTAGGCAAAGAAACAACGCTGGGGCTCTTTAGGCAGCAAAAGCCTGGCCGGGAATCGCAACATGCGATGGCCAACAGAAAAGGAGAGTGCCAACAGCGCCCCCCCCAATACGACCCCAACACAGCCAACACATGGCAACACACAACCACCCCAGCAACCGCAGCAGCAGCAGCAGCAACAGCCACAACAACAATAACTGTAACCGTAACCAGCAGCGGCAGCGGCAGCAAGCAGAAGCTACCAAGCAGCAGCAGGAGTAGCTAGCAAGCAGCAGCACCAGCAGCAGCTACCCAGCAGCAGCAGCACCAGCAGCAGCAGCAGCAGCAGCTACCAAGCAGCAGCAGCTACCCAGCAGCAGCAGCAGCAGCCACCCAGCAGCAGCAGGAGCAGCAGCTACCCAGCAGCAGCAGCAGCAGCAGCTACCCAGCAGCAGCAGCAGCTACCCAGCAGCAGCAGCAGCAGCTACCCAGCAGCAGCAGCAGCTACCCAGCAGCAGCGGCAGCAGCAGCTACCCAGCAGCAGCAGCAGCAGCAGCAGCAGCTACCCAGCAGCAGCAGCAGCAGCTACCCAGCAGCAGCAGCAGCGGCTACCCAGCAGCAGCAGCAGCAGCTACCCACCAGCTGCAGTAGCAGCTACCAAGCAGCAGCAGCAGCAGCAGCAGCAGCAGCAGCTACCCAGCAGCAGCTACCCAGCAGCAGCAACAGCAGCTACCCAGCAGCAGCAGCAGCTCAGCAGCTACCCAGCAGCAGCAGCAACCAGCAAGCAGCCAAGAGCATCCAGCAGCACCAAGCATGCAAGCAGCAGCAGCAGCTACCCAGCAGCAGCAGCAGCTACCCAGCAGCAGCAGCAACCCAGCAGCAGCAGCAGCTACCCAGCAGCAGCAGCAGCAGCAGCTACCCAGCAGCAGCGGCAGCAGCAGCTACCCAGCAGCAGCGGCAGCAGCAGCAGCAGCAGCTACCAAGCAGCAGCAGCTACCCAGCAGCAGCAGCTACCCAGCAGCAGCAGCTACCAAGCAGCAGCAGTTACAAAGCAGCAGCTACCAAGCAGCAGCAGCTACCAAGCAGCAGCAGCTACCAAGCAGCAGCAGCTACCAAGCAGCAGCAGCTACCAAGCAGTAGCAGCTACCAAGCAGCAGCATCAGCAGCACCACCAGCTACCAAGCAGCAGGAGCAGCAGCAGGGAAAGAATGAGCTTTCCTTAGAGTCTTTCGTGCCCCAACATTTGGTCTCGAACAATAGCACATATAGGTGCTGCCTGAGCAATTGTAGAAGGGCGACGTGGAAAGACAGATATATCTGATATATATGTTTTTTCCACAAATAGATGCTGACGATGCAGCCAGCAGCGGTGTGCATGATTGACATCTAGTGGTTGCATGCGAACATGTGTCAGCGACCGAAGACTCCGTC